AAACCCTTGAATCACTCGTCAGGAGTGCATTTTCTTAAAGAATTTTTTCTCTGGCTATTCAATGGCGCCCATGTATTCGACCTAGACCTTGACATTCAAGGTCATTTCAAGGTCAAAATTGATTTTTCAAATGGGAACCTTATCTTTTTGCGGATTTGGAAAGAACTGGAAATTTTACGTCCAAAAATGGTCTTCAGCATGACTTTGACAATGACCTTGAAGGTGGATCAAATGTGGGTCGACTTGCAAAAGTCCCGGTACGGCAGAACTTTCGAAGAATGCATTTTGGGAGAAAATGTTTCAGACAGACTTGTAAGGATTTTTCCCTGGCTATCTGATGGTGACCTTGGATTTGACCTCGACTTTGACCTTCAAGGTTATTTGAAGGTCAAGTTAAGTTTTCTAAATGGGAACCCCTATTTTTTATTGCGGATTTGGAGAGAGCAAGGTCATTGTCAAAGTTATGGTCAAAACCATTTTTGGACGTAAAATTTCCTGCTCTTCGACATAAACTGGTTGAATTCCATTGCTTTTAAATTATCCATGCGAAATTTCATTAATAAATAAAGGAAAATGTCGGAGTTATTCTACAGTGTGACCCATTTGAAACCGAGGCACCCTCATAAAATTTTCATTTACAGGGCGATTTTGACCAACATTTTTTTGAATTGTAGACCATCCAAAAATGATCTGGTAGACCTTGGTTTTTGTATAAAGAGGATGACACTTGGTCTTAAAGTACACTTTTCTCCCCTTTACAATTCAAAATAAAGTTGGTCAAAATCACCTTGAAATCAAAATTTTATGAGTGTGTCCCGGTTTCAAATGGGTCACACTGTATTTTCTTGCATCCCTCAATTTTTTTTTGAAAATTGTCACATTTAACATAACTTGAAAACTGTCACATTTTGGCCTATAGTACCTTATATAAAATTAGTCTAGATTTTACCATAGAAATAAAAAATGCAAAATTATACAGAGTGTTCCATTTGAAATGACAAAGTTGCTGATGCCTTCCGGTATAACCAGAAGTGCGAGAAAGTTGACACTATTTTCATTGAATTGATCTTTTTGATAAACCCCCGACACAAATTTTCAGGTTTCAATTCCGACTACTTTTTGAGATAATCCTACNTACAGAGTGTTCCATTTGAAATGACAAAGTTGCTGATGCCTTCCGGTATAACCAGAAGTGCGAGAAAGTTGACACTATTTTCATTGAATTGATCTTTTTGATAAACCCCCGACACAAATTTTCAGGTTTCAATTCCGACTACTTTTTGAGATAATCCTACTGGGCCCTCTTCGTGATACACCCTGTATAGTTAATACAAAGTAGAGTAAAGAAATGAAGCAAACAATAGAAATTTTTACAAATTTAATTAATATTTCGTACCCCCTAGGTAACTCTCACAGGAAATTTTTGTATGATGTCCATGGAAGTTCATAATATGATACTTTTTCCTGAAATGTTCAACATGGCCGACATGAAACTGCATTTAGACGTCACAAATGACATCGGTTTCAACAAAGTGAATTAACTCACATTTTTATGTTTATTGAATATTCCTGAATAACGAAAATCTCACATCCCTACTTTACATAATATTTGTGTATCAACTGACGTCTTGAAAGGTGCTTCTTTTGTTTAGTTTTGAAATCAAGTGTCTCACAATGGTACATTTGCACCTCGACTGGGCTTGTGTTTGAGCTGGTGTCGTGTAAGGTGGTCCTTACGTTTGGTGTTGAAGCCGCATGTTACACATTCGTACGTTCTTATTTTAGAAATGTCTTTGTGAATTAGCTTATTGCGCGAAAGATTACTTTTGTGCTTGTACGTNACTTAAACAAACTGGAAAATAACTATTTATCTTCATTAATATTGCGTTACCTTCTAAATTTTTTGCACTTTATCGGAGACCATTGTTTATTAATACAAAGCAGAGTAAAGAAATGAAGCAAATAGAAATTTTTACAAATGTAATCAATATTTCGTACCCCCTAGTAACTCTCACAGAAAATTTTTGTACGATGCCCATGGATGTTCATAATGTGACACCTTTTTCCTGAAATGTCACGTCACAAATGATATCAGTTTCCACAAAGTGAATTAACTGTAACTTTTTTATGTTTACTGAATAATCCTGAATAACATCCCTACTTTCCATAATATTTGTGTATTAACTGATGTCTTGATATCTTGAAAGGTGCTTCTTTTGTTTAGTTTTGAAATCGCACGTGTGACAATGGTACATTTGCACACCTAATACAGGGCCTGTGTTTGAGCTGGTGTCGTGTAAGGCGGTCCTTACGTTTGGTATTGAATGTTACGCATTCGTACGTTCTTATTTTAGAAATGTCTTTGTGAATTAGCTTATGGCGCGAAAGATTACTTTTGTGCTTGTACGTCATATAGCAGGACTGACATTCATATACAGACTTTGGAATAATCTTTGTGTGCCGCTAGATGATTTTTGAGAGACGGTTTATATTTAGTTCTGAAGTCGCATGTATTGCAGTGGTACATTTGCACCTCAGACAGGCTTTTGTGTTTGATCTGATGTCGTGTGAGAAGATCATTACGATAAGCTTTGAAGTCGCACTTATCACACTTGTACACCGTCTTCTTAGAAATGTCTTTGTGAACTAGCTGATGGCGTGAAAGATTACTTTGGTACTTGTACTTCATACAACATAACTGACATTCATATATCGACTCTTTCGAACAATCTTCGTGTGACAGTAAATGACTTGTGAGAGATTGTTTATATTTAGTTCTGAAGCCACATGTATTACAGTGGTACATTTGCACCTCAGACGGGCTTGTGTGTTTGAGCTGATGCCGTGTGAGACTGTAATTATTGCAGGATATGAAGTTGCACGTATCACACTTGTATGTTTGCCTCTCGACCAGACTTTCATGTTTGAGCTGGTGTCGTGTAAGGTGGTACTTATGTTTGGCTTTTAAGCCGCATGTTATACATTCATATGTTCCTATTTTAGGAATGTCTTTGTGAATTAGCTTATGACGCAAAAGACTATTTTTGTGCTTATACTTCATACGACATGACTGACATTCATACATCGACTCTTTAGAATAATCTTTGTGTGACAGTAGATGATTTCTGAGGGACGGCTTATATTTAGTTCTGAAGTCACATGTATTGCAGTGGTACATTTGCACCTCAGACGGGTTTTTGTGTTTGACCTGATGTCGTGTGAGAAGATCGTTACGATAAGCTTTGAAGTCGCACTTATCACACTTGTACAACCGCTTCCTAGGATCTTTGTGACTTTTTTGATGGCGTGAAAGGTTGCTCCTGTGCTTGTATTTCAAATCGCATGCATGGCATTTGTACAGATTAAATTTTAAATTACCCTTCTGCTGGATGGTCCATTCGTGATCATTACGGAGAGCAGAGTCACTGGAAAAATCATTAAACAAATGAAAATATCACAAGTAGCATTAAAAAGTTATAACCCAATGTGGCAATTGGGTTCAAATTGTGTTTAAGTGATGTGATCATGCTATTTTCAATTTGACAAGGATAATTTGAAAAATTCTAACACACGAGTTAACATGGAATTAAAAATACTTCAGACATATACAGGGTGAGTCATAATTAGGTGTAAAAAATTTAACTGAAACTTCTCGTCAAAACAAAATAATTGTTCAAATAAACCTTCTTATAAAGATACACTTTGGGTAGTTTATTGACTATTTGTTGGCGGCAACATGTTATCAATAATACAGAGTTTTAGAACCACTTTTAGGTAATTGTATGATGCTTCTGGTTCATTAACGTTACATAATTTTAACTGGATTCTCAAATAAAGGCTCTTAAATCTCTCTTAATACTTAGTATTATTACATTTTGCATTTTGCTTCTTTGTGCAAATTATTAAGCAGTGCATTGTGCGAATTCTCAGAAAACGTTTTCAACTTTTTTCATTAAAATATTCTACAAAATCACTACCTCTTTTATAATTAGTTGAAGAATTAGTTGTATGAAACTTTTAAAATCATTTAAAATTAACTTTAGATTTAATACCGAAAAATAACCTTAAATTAGTCTAGTTCCATTCCTGAAAACATGGAATATCCCTTGAAACCTACCTATCGTTATCGGGTTCCTCAGATTTTATTTCAATCTCATCAGTCTTAGCACACAACAGGCTCTCTTTGTCTCCATGAAAATTTTTTATTTGTTCCTCAACATCTAGACACTTTTTTATTAAACTGCTGTGAGCGTTCAGAGAATCCAGACAACCTGCACATACTACCGGCTCCTTGGTGGAATTAAAATTCTATAAAAGACACATTGTCTCAATAAAGTGAAATCTATATAAAAAAATGTGTTTCTAATATAAAAAAGTATACATACTATTTCTGGGATACATTTTTGGATTATGTCAATTTCCATATCCTCTACCGATGTAAATCCACAGGTGTCCATCTGCATACACAATCGACAAATTCTCTCATCTTCCAATATGGCTCTCAAATGTTCTTTACCCCGTATCTTGAGATATATCTCTCTTAAATCAACAGATGCCACGTTTTCAGAATTAACGTAAGGAAAAATACTATCCTCCGTGTCCATACAGGTTGCCTTGAACTGAAATGCCGCCAATACTGTAGTGGAACAAGCAATGCATATTACAGGCTCTGTTTTTTCTTCCGCACACTAAATCAAATATTATCATGAAATATGACTCAGTTTTCAAAAATTTACAGAATACAAGGTACAATACAAATTTTCTTACTAGTTTCACGAGAAGAATCTCTAGAACTTCTTTAATAGTTTCTTCTATTACTTTAAAATTTCCATCAGTTATGACATTGCGGCAGAGCCGGCAGAACGTTTTCGCGAAATTTCCCATTTATGCTTTTTAAATTCGGGATAAACTCACACAAAAAAAATAACCTTACATCTTACATCCTTATCACAGAACACCACTAACTTACAGAATAATAGGTTTATTGTTGTTTACCGGTATTATCTAAGAGCATATACTACATGGAGGAAACACCACGTTAAAAAATGACGTTGTAGAAAGGGTGATAGGTTTGGTTATTATTATCCTGTCCCCACACTTATACACCATTTACAACTCCGACATCCCACATCCCCCCAACACCAACATATACTTATACGCCGACGACCTGACAATCACATCCCAATCCGTAGATCCTAGATATTCCGTCTCCCTCCTCCAAAACTCCTTAGACCAACTTGAAACCTGGTGCAACAGGTGGAAAGTCAAAATTAATCCCAACAAAAGTTCGGCTATCCTTTTTACCAAACGAAAAATCCCACAAAACCTCGACAGACTGACACTATCCCAGGAACCTATCTCCTGGAATCGACAAACACGATACCTGGGCGTGACGATGGACCAGCGTCTCACGTGGAAACCGCACATCGTGGAGACGGTGGCGCGAGCGAAGACCACCAGGGCTAGGCTCTATCCCTTACTCAAAGGTGGAAACACCCTCAGTTTAAGGAATAAGCGAACGCTTATCAAGGTGGTACTTCAACCGCAGCTAACCTACGCCTCCACGGCGTGGGGTCACGCGGCAAAAAGCCACTTAAAGTCATTACAGGCTGTGGAAAACATAGCCCTCCGCACGGCCACCGACGCGCCCTGGTACGTAAGAAACACTGACATATTACGAGACTTACAATACACAAACGCTACACAGACAATAAGACAAAACGCGGAGAAACGATTTGACGTAGCCGCTAGACATGACAATCCCNGCAATTCAGAACTGTCTGTGTGACTTAGTTGATGGCGCAGAAGGTATCTTTTCTGCTTGAACTTCGCACCGCATGTGCAACATATGAACGTCGGCTCCTTGGAGTAATCTACGTGCACCAGTTGATGTTTTGCGATACTTTGTTTATATTTGGATTTGAAATTGCACGTATTGCAGTGGTACATTTGCACCTCAAAGGGACTTTTGTGTTTGAGTAGATGCGTTCTAAGGTGGCACTTACGTTTCACTTTGAAGCCGCACGTATCGCATTCATATAACCGTGGCTTAGAAATGTCTTTGTGATTTATTTGGTGGGGTGAAAGGCTGCTGTTGAGCTTGGATTCGAGTTTTAATTTATCATTGCCCTTGATTTTGTAACCACATGTATCAGGTTTGTTGGAGATCGTCTCTGATATGCCTCTTATGTGCTTTCTCTCGCAGTTAGTTTTAATTTCGTATTTATCATTTTCATCCACTTCCGTCAAATTTTGTAAAGAATTACTCTGGTTTATGCTGACTGAAGATTCATTGTTGTTATATAGGGGAGAATCGCTGGAAAAATTATAACTTGCTTATAATTAAGTGCATACAGGGTGTTCAGAAACGAACGGTTAGCTTCCTTATTAATCTACTTTAAAGATATTACGCTAATTCACACAAATTCAAAAATATTTTTCTAAAAATTCTTATCGAATAAAGTCAAACAATATTTTAATTGATATAATGTATCAGTAAAACTGAACGAACATTTATTGCTAATTTTCTTGAAAATGGTAAATTGCAGCAACATTTCAGCATTTCTAAGTTATTTTTGACTTTATGAGCAACATGCTGTCGAATATTGTCATTTTGAGAATAATTTAAATCAGCTTAATATCTTTAAAGAAAAGTATGAGTTGATATTAGAAAAATGTGTAGCTTTTAAGAAATAAAGTGTAAAGCGAGACAGTTATTGAAAACTTACCTATCTTCATTGTTTTCTTCAGATTTTATTTCAATCTCTTCAGTATCAATATATAATCGATCCCCTGTAGTTTTACCATCACAAATTTGCTCGTCTATATCTGAACACATTTTTAAAAACCTGCCATGAGTGTTCAGAGAATCAAGGCAAGCTGTACAAATAACTGGATCCTCGGTGGAATTAAAATTCTACAAAAGATACCGTAAACATAACTTTTTCAAGCCTATAGCGATATGTCAGCAATGTTTCAAATATAATATACATACTACTTCCGGAATATATTTAGTGATTATGTCAAAATCCACATCTTTTACTGATGTAAATCCACAGGTGTCTAACTGCATACACAATCGACAAAGTTTTTCGTCTTCCAATAAACCTCTTAAGTGTTCCTTACCTCTTCCTTTTAGATAAATATCTTTTAAATCAACTGGTGCCACATTTTCAGAACTAACGTGAGGAAAAATACTATCCTCAGTGTCTGTACACATCGCTTTAAATTGAAATGCCTCAAATAGTCTGATGGAACAAGTACTGCATATTATAGGCTTAATATTTTCTTCTATTCTCTAAAATATGATTAACGTGGAAAGAAGACACAAAATGTAGTATACACTACGCATTTTCTTACCAGTTTCAACAGAAGAACCTCTAGAACTTCTTTAATAGTCTCTTCTATTATTTTGAAATTCCCATCTACTATGACGTCGAGGCAAAGCCTGCAGAATGTTTTAGCAAAGTTTTCCATTTATACTACCTTATAGAATTTATTCGGGCATTTGTTATTATACCCATAAATTACTAATTACTACGTCAACATATAAAATTATAAAAATTATAACCTAATAAAACAACATTAGTTGCATTCGACTGGACTATCGACACACAACTCTAACAAACAGGGAGGGACTTACGTTTTGGCAAAATTATACCTATCGGCAACTTATATCAGTTCAGAGTAACTCTAAGTTAGTATTAGCTATTAATGGCTACTATTTTTGCCAAATCGAAAAGCCCTAGGGATAGCACTTCGGAGAAGTGCGTTCTTTTCGGAACAGGTACAAATGAAAATTTGAAGGTGCTCCCCAAGGATATTTATAATGTATTATAATATCCTTGGGTGCTCCCAAGAAGACTGGATAGAGCCAGAGATATATAGATAGAGCACGAACTCATGCTACGGGAAAATTAACAAAATTTGTCAATATGATAGTAGAAATACTAGACTAGAAATTACTTATAGTTTTTACCGCTGGAGTCACTACTGTTCCTTGTGCACCGACATATTTTCATTATTTATTAATTTATTTATCTAATTCAAAGTAGCCTATATTATTTATTTTAAAATTTTTAAAGAACTCTAATAAATTTTTATAAATATATTAACGATAGAAGGTAGGATATAAAAATACATAGGTCTCTCAATATTGTAGGAAATAATTTTGCCTACAAAGAGATCGACAAAGTTAAGGTGATTAAGTCGTTTTCAGATGCATATAGAAATATATGTAACTGAAAGAAGAAAATTTTTCCTTCTTATTGACCATAAAACAGTCCATTTATTAAACAACCAATAACAAGCAGAACACACCAAACACAAGAACTGGTAGTTTACATATTTGAACCCGGCCTTAGACATAAATGAATCAGAAACTACAGAAACATTTTTAACTGTACTTTAACTCCTAGAAAATCAGTACTAGAGCTGTTTGAAATCAGTATTTATTGTAAACATTGACGTATCTTACACGTTTTTTTATTTTATACAAATTTAAATTAATATGTTGTAATAATTTTTTACTTGCCTTTACATCTGTGAATTTATTATTTACCAGTAGGTATACAAATAAATTCGCAGTTTGTAGAAGACGATAGTAAAAACAAAAACAATTAATTTTTGTAAGATGTACTTCTAAACAATTTAAATTTACCGCCAGATATAATTTTATATCACCAAGAGATGGCCAAATATTGTCCATTAGCGTTTTATGAATACTATTGGTTGGTATTCTAGGGTATTGACTGTATTAAAAACACTTTTGCTGATTCAAAGTAAAAAATATGAATATAAAGATTATATAGGGCGATTCAAAATTCCGTACAAATAATTTAGGGGTATATTTTTGAGGTCAAAAGAAGACCTTTCTCCTATAAACATGGATCCACAAATGCTTAGATTTCGGTATACAGGATGTTAGTTTTTTATTTTAATTTTTTAGTAATAATTTCCAAACAAAAATGTTGGCATAAACTTGAGGTACTACAGTTTTTTAGAATGCTAAATTTAAATATTTCATTGGTTTTGATGCTGATTGAACTGGGTGCCACCTATAAGGGTACGCTTGAATTAAATTGGCCCTAACTTTTTTGCTACCTTGTACATTGACGTTGCATACTAGACTTTCCCCTATCAATTTTCAACAAAAAAGGTATACTTGTTGGAAATCTCTCAGGCCAACCGTTTCTGAGATATTGGCTGATGAAGAGTCCAATGCACACCATATTTTTAAATTTTATTAACTATTTACCGTGAAAAATTTTCAAATTTATCCACCATCTAATCAGTAATGCAATGATCTTCAATTTTGGCTCTAAATTTTTTTTATACAACTAACCGTTTTCGAGAAAATCACGGCTGACTAAACGATAGTATTGTAACTTAAACAAACTGGAAAATAACTATTTATCTTCATTAATATTGCGTTACCTTCTAAATTTTTTGCACTTTATCGGAGACCATTGTTTATTAATACAAAGCAGAGTAAAGAAATGAAGCAAATAGAAATTTTTACAAATGTAATCAATATTTCGTACCCCCTAGTAACTCTCACAGAAAATTTTTGTACGATGCCCATGGATGTTCATAATGTGACACCTTTTTCCTGAAATGTCACGTCACAAATGATATCAGTTTCCACAAAGTGAATTAACTGTAACTTTTTTATGTTTACTGAATAATCCTGAATAACATCCCTACTTTCCATAATATTTGTGTATTAACTGATGTCTTGATATCTTGAAAGGTGCTTCTTTTGTTTAGTTTTGAAATCGCACGTGTGACAATGGTACATTTGCACACCTAATACAGGGCCTGTGTTTGAGCTGGTGTCGTGTAAGGCGGTCCTTACGTTTGGTATTGAATGTTACGCATTCGTACGTTCTTATTTTAGAAATGTCTTTGTGAATTAGCTTATGGCGCGAAAGATTACTTTTGTGCTTGTACGTCATATAGCAGGACTGACATTCATATACAGACTTTGGAATAATCTTTGTGTGCCGCTAGATGATTTTTGAGAGACGGTTTATATTTAGTTCTGAAGTCGCATGTATTGCAGTGGTACATTTGCACCTCAGACGGGCTTTTGTGTTTGATCTGATGTCGTGTGAGAAGATCATTACGATAAGCTTTGAAGTCGCACTTATCACACTTGTACACCGTCTTCTTAGAAATGTCTTTGTGAACTAGCTGATGGCGTGAAAGATTACTTTGGTACTTGTACTTCATACAACATAACTGACATTCATATATCGACTCTTTCGAACAATCTTCGTGTGACAGTAAATGACTTGTGAGAGATTGTTTATATTTAGTTCTGAAGCCACATGTATTACAGTGGTACATTTGCACCTCAGACGGGCTTGTGTGTTTGAGCTGATGCCGTGTGAGACTGTAATTATTGCAGGATATGAAGTTGCACGTATCACACTTGTATGTTTGCCTCTCGACCAGACTTTCATGTTTGAGCTGGTGTCGTGTAAGGTGGTACTTATGTTTGGCTTTGAAGCCGCATGTTATACATTCATATGTTCCTATTTTAGGAATGTCTTTGTGAATTAGCTTATGACGCAAAAGACTATTTTTGTGCTTATACTTCATACGACATGACTGACATTCATACATCGACTCTTTAGAATAATCTTTGTGTGACAGTAGATGATTTCTGAGGGACGGCTTATATTTAGTTCTGAAGTCACATGTATTGCAGTGGTACATTTGCACCTCAGACGGGTTTTTGTGTTTGACCTGATGTCGTGTGAGAAGATCGTTACGATAAGCTTTGAAGTCGCACTTATCACACTTGTACAACCGCTTCCTAGGATCTTTGTGACTTTTTTGATGGCGTGAAAGGTTGCTCCTGTGCTTGTATTTCAAATCGCATGCATGGCATTTGTACAGATTAAATTTTAAATTACCCTTCTGCTGGATGGTCCATTCGTGATCATTACGGAGAGCAGAGTCACTGGAAAAATCATTAAACAAATGAAAATATCACAAGTAGCATTAAAAAGTTATAACCCAATGTGGCAATTGGGTTCAAATTGTGTTTAAGTGATGTGATCATGCTATTTTCCATTTGACAAGGATAATTTGAAAAAATCTAACACGAGTTAACATGGAATTAAAAATACTTCAGACATATACAGGGTGAGCCAGAATTAGGTGTAAAAAAGTTAACCGAAACTTCTCGACAAAACAAAATAATTGTTCAAATAAACCTTTGTTCCAAAATGCCTTCTTATAAAGATACAGGGTGCTAAAGTTTATAAAAAAATATAGTTTCTTAATATTTCCAGAACTGCTTAACAGATTGCTTTGAAATTTGGTGTAGTAAATGTTACTGTTTATTCTCCTGTGTGGAACCAGCAAAATACTAAAAGTACCCATATGGCGAAAAAATGTTATTTTACTATAAAAATACCTTACATATTTTTATCAAAAATTAAGAAAATAAACTATATAAGAATTAAGGAACTAGAATAAAAATTAGTGCCCACCTTCAGCTACAACACTGGTACGACATCATCGTATTAACGAAGCAAATACACGGTGAATGTTAAAGTTACCACGAATTTCATTTAATGCCACTATAATTTGTTTATGTAACTGTTAATTACTTCGTAGTAAATCTATTACTGTGAAACTTGCAACAAAAAAAATCTAGTCAATTTAAGTCCAGATTTCTTGGAGGCCATCTCACAGGACCGAATAGACCAATTCATTTACCACCAAACTGGAATCTGTCATTGCAGGAAGGTGCACGATAATGTTGGATGAACATCTGTTGTCTAATATTTAACGGTACCATAGTGGATTTCTCATATATTATACTGGCCCAAAAATTGTTGCTGGAATCTTCTGCTAAATTTAACATGTGGATTGTCTAATGAAGTGATGCGAGTTTCAAAAATTTGTAATTTCTCCTCTGGTAAAAATTGCTAATACCTCCTAATCCTTGATCACTTTGGCTAGTTTATTGTAGTGATGGGAATAATCGAATGAATTAAATAATCGAGAGGTTACCGTTCGAATTAATTTTATAATCGAATGATCATTCGAATGATATATAATCGAAAGTCCACTTCGAAAATTTCCGACCTATCCCAAATTATATGTGAAAAAAACGAAATTAATGACTTTCGCGTATTGCGGAATTTCTTCGTTGTCAGTTGAGTGGTTCATCAGCATGTGTTTAAAATGAATAGTGGCCACCTAAAGAGAAAAATTGTTTGGGTTTTTGAAAAAAAATTAATATATAGAAAACATAATTTTTGTATTATTTTCATTCATATGAATTTCTATCTTTGCTATATAAAGCTTCCTTCTAAACTAGTGATGGACATAATCGAATGAATTAAATAATCGAGAGGTTACCGTTCGAATTAATTTTATAATCGAATGATCATTCGAATGATATATAATCGAAAGTTCACTTTGAAAATTTCCGGTCTATCCCAAATCATATGCGAAACATGTTGACGCTAGGTAAATNTTAGGTGAAAAAAATTTAACGGAAACTTCTCGCCAAAATAAAATAATTGTTCGAATAAACCTTTGTTCCAAAATGCCTTCTTATAAAGATACAGGGTGCTAAAGTTTATAAAAAAATATAGTTTCTTAATATTTCCAGAACGGCTGAACAGATAGCTTTGAAATTTGATGTAGTAAATGTCACTGTCTATTATCTTGTTAGGAACCAGCAAAATACTAAAAGTACCAATATGGCGAAAAAATTTTGCATCACTAACCAATATTGGAAATAATGTTTTTTTTTTAATTTAACTTTCATTTTACTATAAAAAAGCATCCTTATATATTTTCAGCAAAATTTTTAAAAATAAACAATATTAGAATTAACTGCTAATTAACTAATTAACAACTGCTAATGTTCGAAGTGCCCACCTTCAGCTACTAATGCAATTATTATGCCACGCCTTCAATGGTATTTCGTTTATGTGGTACAACCTTACACTGTGTACCGTCTCTGAATTAAAGGTCATATTTGGTGACGGTGTAGCTAAAGAACTAATTCAGTACTGTAATGGGAAAAATCCACCTGCATCATTATCGGATCGACTTATATTTCTTTCAAGGATAACCTGTCGTTTTAACGAAGCAAACAGTGAATGTTAAAGTTACCACGAATTTCATTTACTGCCACTATAATTTGTTTATGTAACTGTTAATTACTTCGTGGCAAATCTATTACTGTGAAACTTCCAATAAAAAAAATCTAGTCAATTTAAGTCCGGATTTCTTGGAGGCCATCTCACAGAACCGAATAGACCAATTCATTTACCACCAAACTGGAATCTGTCATTGTAGGGAGGTGCACAATAGTGTTGGAAGAATATCTGTAGTCTAATATTTAACGGTACCATAGTGAATTCCACATATATTATACTGACCGAAAATTGTTGCTGGAATCTTCTGCTAAATTTAACATGTGGATTGTCTAATGAATGAATAGTGGTAAGTTTCAAAAATTTGTAATTTCCCTTCTGGTAAAAATTGCTAATACCTCATAATCCTTTCCTTAATCACTTTGGGTAGTTTATTGGCTATTTGTTGGCGGCAACATGTTATCAATAATACAGAGTTTTAGAACCACTTTAAGGTAATTGTATGATGCTTCTGCTTCACTGACGTTATATAATTTTAACTGGATTGTCAAATAAAGACTCCTAAATCTCTCTAATACTTGGTATAATTACATTTTACATTAATACGCTTCTTTGTGCAAACTATTAAGCAGTGCACTGTGCGAATTCTCAGAAAACATGTTCTACTTTTTTCATTTTTCAAAATATTCTAAAAAATCACTACCTCTATTATCAGAATTAGTTGTATGAAACTTTTAAAATCATTTAAATCATTTACTTTAGATTGAATACCGATAAATAACCTCAAATTAGTCTAGTTCCATTCCTGAAAACTTGGAATATCCCTTGAAACCTACCTATCGTTATCGGGTTCCTCAGATTTTATTTCAATCTCATCAGTCTTAGCACACAACAGACTCTCTTTGTCTACATGAAAATTTTTCATTTGTTCCTCAACATCTAGACACTTTTTTATTAAACTGCTGTGAGCGTTCAGAGAATCCAGACAACCTGCACATACCACCGGCTCCTTGGTGGAATTAAAATTCTATAAAAGACGCAATGTCTCAATAAAGTAAAGTGAAATCTATATAAAATAAAATGTGTTTCTAATATAAAAAACTATACATACTATTTCTGGGATACATTTTTGGATTATGTCAATTTCCACATCCTCTACCGATGTAAATCCACAGGTGTCCATCTGCATACACAATCGACAAATTCTCTCATCTTCCAATATTGCTCTCAAATGTTCTTTACCCCGTATCTTGAGATAAATCTCTCTTAAATCAACAGACGCCACCTTTTCAGAATTAACGTAAGGAAAAATACTATCCTCCGTGTCCATACAGGTTGCCTTGAACTGAAATGCCGCCAATACTGTAGTGGAACAAGCAATGCATATTACAGGCTCTGTTTTTTCTTCCGCACACTAAATCAAATATTATCATGAAATATGACTCAGTTTTCAAAAATTTACAGAATACAAGGTACAATACAAATTTTCTTACTAGTTTCACGAGAAGAATCTCTAGAACTTCTTTAATAGTTTCTTCTATTACTTTAAAATTTCCATCAGTTATGACATTGCGGCAGAGCCGGCAGAACGTTTTCGCGAAATTTCCCATTTATGCTTTTTAAAATCGGGATAAACTCACACAAAAAAAATAACCTTACATCTTACATCCTTATCACAGAACACCACTAACTTACAGAATAATAGGTTTATTGTTGTTTACCGGTATTATCTAAGAGCATATACTACATGGAGGAAACACCACGTTAAAAAATGACGTTGTAGAAAGGGTGATAGGTTTGGTTATTATTAAGCAAACAAAATATATTACAACTTTTGTACGCTTTTATAGAGATTAGGAGATGGCTTTCTGCTAGAAAGCAGAGAGTTGCGTTAGTCAATCACATGCCTGCGCAAGAGACATGTCTCAAACTATGTTTTTCTCTCTCTGTCGCCTTAAGGCTGTTTTCTCCTATTGTATATGCTCTAAGAATATTACAACTTCAGGGTTTTTTTCGCGAGTGAAGTCGTATGTTGAAGTATGTGCAGTATGTGATAACCAGTATCACCAAACTCATCAAGTCCTACTTCCACAACTGAAAATTCCGCATTCAGATCCAATATACCTTCTCCACAACCCGACCCATGGACACGGGTGTCCCCCAAGGTACCGTCCCATCCCCACATCTCTACACCATATACAGGGTGGCACAAAACTATGGAAACCCTTGAATCACTCGTCAGGAGTGCATTTTCTTAAAAAATTATAAATACAAGATTTAGAATTTTTTCTCTGGCTATTCAATGGCGCCCATGTATTCGACCTAGACCTTGACATTCAAGGTCATTTCAAGGTCAAAATTGATTTTTCAAATGGGAACCTTATCTTTTTGCGGATTTGGAAAGAACTGGAAATTTTACGTCCAAAAATGGTCTTCACCATGACTTTGACAATGACCTTGAAGGTGGATCAAATGTGGGTCGACTTGCAAAAGTCCCGGTACGGCAGAACTTTCGAAGAATGCATTTTGGGAGAAAATGTTTCAGACAGACTTGTAAGGATTTTTCCCTGGCTATCTGATGGTGACCTTGGATTTGACCTCGACTTTGACCTTCAAGGTTATTTGAAGGTCAAGTTAAGTTTTCTAAATGGGAACCCCTATTTTTTATTGCGGATTTGGAGAGAGCAAGGTCATTGTCAAAGTTATGGTCAAAACCATTTTTGGACGTAAAATTTCCTGCTCTTCGACATAAACTGGTTGAATTCCATTGCTTTTAAATTATCCATGCGAAATTTCATTAATAAATAAAGGAAAATGTCGGAGTTATTCTACAGTGTGACCCATTTGAAACCGAGGCACCCTCATAAAATTTTCATTTACAGGGCGATTTTGACCAACATTTTTTTGACTTGTAGAGGGGCGAAAAGTGTACTTTAGCACCCAGTGTCATCCTTTTTATACAAAAACCAAGGACTACCATATCATTTTTGGAGGGTCAAAATTGAAGAAACCATATTGGCGATTTCTTTAGAAAAAATCTAAATACGCTCCTTAAAATGNTTGTTAAGCGGCTTATACATTTTTAGAAAATATGTTTATATAAATATCGATAATACAGTCCTGAACGAGGAGAGTAAAAATTGGAAATATCCCTAATCAGGCCCTGTTCTCTAGCCTCAAATGGCTGTCGGTGACGTCACACACTGAATTTCAATAGATCAAAGGTGCCGCCCGAAACCTAGACTGCTGATTGTTTTATATGCTGTGATAATAGGTTTATTGTTAGGTCTGTTCCAACAAGAGTCAGGGATTGGTTCCCAACGGTTTGAAATGTTTGGCCAGCTAAGTTCTAAATGTGTCTTCACTGAATATATCGCAAGAATTAGTTGGATGCACATTTCAAATAGTTCGGAACCAATTCCTGACTCATGTTGGAACAGACCTGTTGTGTACCGGCACAGAATATCCTGTAGTTAGGATATTCTGTGATCCAAGATACCTTCTCCACAACCAGACCCATGGAAACGGGTGTCCCCCAAGCCCCAAGGTACCGTCCCATGCCCACACCTCGACACCATATACAGGATGGCACAAAAGTATGGAAACATCTGAATAACTCGTCAGGAGTGGATTTCCTTGAAAAATGATAAATACAATAGTTTTAGGATTTTTCCCTGACTATTCAATGGCGCCCATGTATTCGACCTAGACCTTGACATTCAAGGTCATTTCAAGGTCAAAATTGATTTTTCAAATGGGAACCCTATTTTGTTTATTGCAGACATGGAAAGCAGGAAATTTTACGTCCAAAAATGGTCTTGACCATGACTGACAATGACCTTCAAGGTCAAATGTGGGCCGGTACGGTAGAACTTTCGAAGAATGCATTTTGGGAGAAAATGTGTCGGACAAAAGTGTAAGGATTTTTCCCCTGGCTATCTGATGGTGACCTTGGATTTGACCTTGACTTTGACCTTCAAGGTTGTTTGAAGATCAAGTAAGTTTTTTAAATGGAAACCCCAATTTTTTATTGCGGATTTGGAAAGGGCAAGGTGTCAAAGTCATGGTCAAGACCATTTTTGGATGTAAAATTTCCTGCTCTTTGACATAAACTGGTTGAATTCCATTGCTTTTAAATTATCCATGCGAAATTTCATTAATAAATAAAGGAAAATGTCGGAGTTAGTCTAGAGTGTCACCCATTTGAAACCGGGCACCCTCATAAAATTTCCATTTACAAGGAGATTTTGGAGTAGTACAGGACTACCATATCATTTTTGGAGGGTCAAAATTGGCGATTTTTTTAGAAAAAAATCTAAATACGCCCCTTAAAATGGGCCTATACCAAATTTCATATGAAAATATTGCATATTAATAATTCTGTGGCAAAATTAAAAATCACATTATTATGAACTTTTTTCGTCTGACGAAGCAAGCCATGGAATAAAACGTCCTCTTATTGAATGGCCGCCAAGATCACCTGACTTGACGCCACTCGACATTTTCCTTTGGGGTATCCTTAAGCAAAAAGTGTATAAGTCAAGACCACAGTCGGTAGAAGAATTACGCCCTAAAATAACTGAAGCATGTGCAAATCTTACCCCTGAACAACTGAGAAAAGTAACCACGAACATAGGAAAAAGGTATGATAAGTGCCTTGAAACAAACAGCGGATTGGTGGAGGTAACAAGAATTTAATGAATAATTATTCCCTTCTGAAACTTCATTAATTTTGTTAAATATTGTTATGAATAAAAATAGTTATTGTCTTGTTTTTGACGTTTTATTCCATGGCTTGCTTCGTCAAATGAAAACAATTCATAACAATGTGATAATCAATTTTGCCACAGAATTATTGATATGCAGTCTTTTTTTATAAAATTTGGTATAGGCCCATTTTAAGCGGCGCTTAATCCAGTGGTGTACTCCGATTTTTTCTAAAAAAATTGCTAAAATGGTTTCTTCAATTTTTACCGTCCAAAAATGATCTGGTAGGCCTTGGATTTTGTATAAAGAGCATGACACTTGGTCTTAAAGTACACTTTTCTCCCCTTTACAATTCAAAAAAAGTTGGTCAAAATCGCCCTGTAAATAAAAATTTTATGAGTGTGTCCCGGTTTCAAATGGGTCACACTGTATTTTCTTGCATCTATCAATTTTTTTGAAAATTGTCACATTTAACATAACTTGAAAACTGTCACATTTTGGCCTATAGTACCTTATATAAAATTAGTCTAGATTTTATCATAGAAATAAAAAATGCAAAAATATACAGAGTGTTCCATTTGAAATAACAGAGTCGCTGATGACTTCTGGTATAACCAGAAGTGCGAGAAAGTTGACACTATTTTCATTGAATTGATCTTTTTGATAAACCCCTGTATACAAATTTTCAGGTTTCAATTCCGACTACTTTTTGAGATAATCCTACGGGGCCCTCTTCGTGAAACACCCTATATAGTTAATACAAACTAGAGTAAAGAAATGAAGCAAACAATAGAAATTTTTACAAGTTTAATTAATATTTCGTACCCCCTAGTAACTCTCACAGGAAATTTTTGTACGATGTCCATGGAAGTTCATAATATGATACTTTTTTCCTGAAATGTTCAACATGTCCGACATGAAACTGCATTCAGACATCACAAACGTTTCCAAAAGTGAATTAACTGTAACATTTTTATGTTTATTGAATATTCCTGAATAACGAAAATCTCACATCCCTACTTTCCAGAATATTTGTGTATCAACTGACGTCTTGAAAGGTGCTTCTTTTGTTTAGTTTTGAAATCACGTGTCTCACAATGGTACATTTGCACCTCGATTGGGCTTGTGTATGAGCTGGTGTCGAGTAAGGTGGTCCTTACGTTTGGTGTTGAAACCGCATGTTGCACATTCGTACGTTCTTATTTTAGAAATGTCTTTGTGAATTAGCTTATGGCGCGAAAGATTACTTTTGTGCTTGTACGTCATATAGCACGACTGACATTTATATATAGACTTTTTGGAATAATCTTGGTGTAACAGTACATGATTTATGAGAGATCCTTTATATTTAGTTCTGAAGTCACATGTATTGCAGTGGTACATTTGCACCTCAGACGGATATTTGTGTTTTTGAGCTGATGCCGTGTGAGAATGTAATTATTGCATGCTACGAAGTCGCACGTATCACACTTGTACATTTGCACCTCGGCCAGACTTTCGTGTTTGAGCTGATGTCGTGTAAGGTGGTCCTTACGTTTGGCTTTGAAGCCGCATGTTATACATTCATACTTTTTTCTTTTATTAATGCGTTTGTGAATTAGCTTATGGCGCGAAAGGCTACTTTTATGCCTGTACTTTATACCACAAGACTGACATTCATATATCGACTCTTTGGAATAATCTTCGTGTGACAGTAAATGATTTGTGAGAGACCCTTTATATTTAGTTTTGAAGTCACATGTATTGCAGTGGTACATTTGCACCTCAGACGGGCTTTTGTGTTTGAGCTGATGTCGTGTGAGATGGTCCTTACGATAGGTTTTGAAGTTGCACGTATCACACTTGTGCAACCGCTTCCTAGGAATATCTTTGTGACTTTTTTGATGGCGTGAAAGGTTGCTCCTGTGCTTGTATTTCAAATCGCATGCATAGCATTTGTACAGATTAAGTTTTAAATTACCCTTGCGCTGGATGGTCCATTCGTGATCATTACGGAGAGCAGAGTCACTGAAAAAAATCATTAAACAAATGAAAATATCACAAGTTAAAACCCAATGTGGCAATTGGGATCAAATCTTGTTTAAGTGATGTGATCATGCTATTTTCCATTTGACAGAAACGTTGGTACTTTTAGATAATTGTATGATGCATCTGCTTCACTGACGTTACATAACTTTAACAGGATTCTCAAATAAAGGGTTCTAAATATCTCTAATACTTAGTATAATTACATTTTACATTAATACGCTTCTATGTGCTAACTATTAAGCAGTGCATTGTGCGAATTCTCAGAAAACATGTTCTACTTTTTTCATTTTTCAAAATATTCTAAAAAATCACTACCTCTTTTATAATTAGTTGAAGAATTAGTTGTATGAAACTTTTAAAATCATTTAAAATTTACTTTAGATTGAATACCGATAAATAACCTCAAATTAGTCTAGTTCCATTCCTGAAAACTTGGAATATCCCTTGAAACCTACCTATCGTTATCGGGTTCCTCAGATTTTATTTCAATCTCATCAGTCTTAACACAAAACAGATTCTCTTTGTTTCCATGAACATTTTTTATTTGTTCCTCAACATCTAGACACTTTCTTATTAAACTGCTGTGAGCGTTCAGAGAATCCAGACAACCTGCACATACTACCGGCTCCTTGGTGGAATCAAAATTCTACAAAAGACGCAATGTCTCAATAAAGGAAAGTGAAACTAGATCTATATAAAAAATGTGTTTCAAATATAAAAAACTATTTATACTATTTCTGGAATACACTTTTGGATCATGTCAGTTTCCACATCTTCTACCGATGTAAATCCACTGGTGTTCATCTGCATACACAATCGACAAATTCTCTCTTCTTCCAATATGGCTCTCAAATGTTCTTTACCTCGTATCTTGAGATAAATTTCTCTTAAATCAGCAGATGCCACGTTTTCAGAATTAACGTAAGGAAAAATACTATCCTCCGTGTCCATACAGGTTGCCTTGAACTGAAATGCCGCCAATACTGTCGTGGAACAAGCAATGCATATTACAGGCTCTGTTATTTCTTCCGCACACTAAAACATATATTATCATGAAATATGAGGCTGTTTTCAAAAATTTACAGAATACAAGGTACAACACAAATTTTCTTACCAGTTTCACGAGAAGAATCTCTAGAACTTCTTCAATAGTTTCTTCAATTACTTTAAAATTTCCATCACTTATGACATTGAGGCAAAGCCGGCAGAACGTTTTCGCGAAATTTCCCATTTATGCTTTTCAAATTTGGAATACACACAAAAAAATAACCTCATATCCTTATCACAGAACACCACTAATTTACAGAATAATAGATTTATTGTTGTGTACCTATATTACCTTAGAGCATATATTACATGGAGGGAACACCGCGTGTTAAAAAGTGTAAACATTGTAGAAAGAAAGGGTGATAGTTTTGGCTATTTATTCTCTTTCTCTCTCTTATTTTATTTGAATATCACCAGAATAAGAAAACAAAATCTATTACAACTTTTGTACGTTTTTATAGAGATTAGATGGCTTTCTGCTAGAAAGCGGAGAGAGTTTCGTTAGTCAATCACGTGCCTGCGGAAGAGAGATATATTGTACTCAAACTACCTTTTTCTCTATCGCTGTAAGCTTATTTCCTCCGTTTGTATATGCTTTAAGGGTATTACAACTTCCAATTTATTGGGGAATCCTTCATTGTATAAGCTTTCATACCCTCTTATCTTTATTAGAATTGTGTAATTTACAATTAAAGTTTCAGTTAAAACTATTACTTTTTTTTTTGTAAAAAAATATAGATCATCAATGTTTTTAGACACTTATATTTTACATGCAATATTGTAAATTTGTCAGAAGTAAATATTTTGTAATCCTCATTACTTGACAATGGTGTAGCAATGGATTTGCATTAAAAAAGTATATAGGGATCTATAACTTGTAAAACAAAAGAAATACACAGTTTTTTTTAATATAAACAAACTAAAAACTTAACATTAAAATTACATACATTCAGGGAATAAATGTTAAAATTGCATTAAACATAATAATTACAGTTTAAATTATATGTAAAAAAATTACATGCACATATACATTACTTATTACTATCAAGTTTCACTACCTACGCTGCCTACTATTTCTAGTTTCTGGTAAAGCATTTTTGAGTTGATTTCTTGTTATTTTAATGTTTATAGGGGCTCTTGGGTTCATTTGATTAGACTGATGAACAACTTCACTGCTTCCTTTTGATATTGGTGAAAGCAGTACCTGTTTTTCTTGTGGTATGAAGCCGCTATCTTCTGCTTCTTGCAACTGATGTATTGTGTATGCTTTATTGTTTACAAAAAACTCGTTTCCTTTTATGATGTATATATTTGGAGAATTTTCTTTGAATTTGCTTAAAGTTTCTACACTAACTAATTCTGGCGGCTTTTAATTGTCTACAATTTTTTATTAGTCTCTTTCTCGCCCGTGAAAGACGTTCAATTTTTACAGGATTATTTCCAAACTCTCCAAGCCAGCCAGTATATCAATATCTGACATGAATTTTGAAATATTGCTTCCATATTTAGTTTTAAAATTATATGTACTGCAATTGTACATTTGCACTTTGGAAACACTTTTGTGTTTCAGCTGACAGAAAATAAAGTTGCTCTTATGTATGGTTGTCAAACCCTTGCGCTTGAACTTCACACAGCGTGTGCGACATTCTTTTATCAACCCGGAACAGTCTTCGTGTAACATTTGATGATTTATGAGAGGCTATTTATATTTAGTTTTGAAATGGTACATTTGTACCACAAATGGACCTTTGTGTTTGAGCTGGTGCTCTTCAAGGTTGAACTTGTATTTGGTTTTAATGCAGAATGTATTGAAATTACATGTACGTCAGAAACGCCTTTGTGAGTTATTTGATGGCTAGAAAGATCGCTCCTTTGCTTGAATTTTAAATCGTATGTATCAGGTTTGCATCAGCTCTTTGAAATTATCTTGTGTTTCAACCGGTGTGTTGAAAGATAGTATTTGTACTTAGTTTTAAAATCACATTCATCGCATTCAAATACTTCCATTTCGGAAGTGCTTTTGTGAGTTAGCAGGTGGTTCCTAAGATTCCTCTTTCGCTTAGTTTTATAATCACACATACGACACTCATACATTTGGATCTCGGATGTATCTTTGTGGATTACCTGATGTTTTGAAATATTGGGCTTATATTTAGTTTTGAAATCACATGCGTGACAGTGGTATATTTGTACCTCAGATGGATCTTTGTGTTTCACCTGATGTTTTTCAAGGTTGGACTTGTATTTAGTTTTAAAACCGCATGTATGACATTCATATATTTGTACTTTAGAAATACCTTTGTGGCTCGTTTGATGGCTCAAAAGATCTCTCTCGTGCTCGAACTTTAAATTGCATGTATAACATTTGTATATCGGTACTTTGAAATTATCTTGGTGCTTCAACCGATGTGTTGAGAAATAGTATTTGTATTTAGTTTTAAAATCGCATATATCACATTCAAATACTTCTGATTTAGGAACGTTTTTATGTTTTAACATGTGGTTTTTAAGACCGTGCTTTCGCTTAGTTTTATAGTCGCATATACGACACTCGTATACTTGGACCTCGGAAAAATCTTTGTGTACCAAGTGATGTTTTGAAAGACTGCGCTTATATTTAGTTCTAAAATCGCATACACTGCAGTGGTACATTTGGACCTCGGAAGCCCTTTTGTGTTTCAGCTGATGGTTCGTAAAAGATTCCTTATGTACAGTGTTAAAACTGCATGTATCACATGCATATACTCGTACTTTTGAATTGTTTTTGCGAATTTTTTGATGGTGTGAAAGATCACTATGCTTGATGGCTGAGTCATGTAGAGTAGAGTCACTGAAAATTTATAAATTCCACCTCAGAAAACTTCTAAATATTCTATGAAACTTACCTATCATTTTCTTCAGACTTTATTTCATTCCTTTCAATCTTAACACACAATGGGCTCTCTTCGCCGCTATGAAATTTTTCCTCTACATCTAGACAATTTTTTAAGGATCTGCTGTGAATGCTCAGAGGATCATTGGATAAAATACTGAAACATAACCTTAAACTAGTCTAGTCCCATTTCTGAAAACTTGGAATATTCCTTGAAACCTACCTATCGTTATCGTGTTCCTCAGATTTTATTTCAATCTCTTCAGTCTTAATACAAAACAGACTCTCTTTGTTGCTATGAATTTGTCCCTCTACATCTAGACAGTTTAAGAAACTGCTGTAAGCGTTCAGAGAATCGAGACAAGTTGCACATACGACTGGCTCCTTGGTGGAATTAAAATTCTACAAAAACCAATGTTACAACAAAAGAAACTTTCGTAACTCTCAAGTGGATTTAGGCCTATATCAAAAATGTGTTTGGAATATAAAAAACTGTACATACTATCTCTGGAATACATTTCTGAATCATATCAATTTCCACATCTTCTACCGATGTGAATCCACAAGTGTCCATCTGCATACACAATCGACAAATTCTCTCATTTTCCAGTACCGTTTTTAAATGTTCATTACCTCGTATTTCGAGATAAATCTCTCTTAAATCAACAGGTGCCACCTTTTCAGAATTAACGTAAGGGGAAATACTAGCTTCCGTGTCCATACAGGTCTTCTTGAACTGAAATGCCGCAAATACTGCTGTGGAACATGCACTGCACATTACATGCTCAATATTTTCTGCTGCGTTCTAAAATCATGAAAAAAAGTGACAGTATTAACAGATTTGCAAAATGGAAGATACATAGAATACATATTTTCTTACCCGTTTCAGAAGTAGCACCTGTAGAACTTCTTCTTCTATTACTTTGAAATTTCCATCACTTATAACATTAAGGCAAAGCCTGCACAACGTTTTGACAAGATTTTCCATTTTCTATTAGGTAGGTATTTAATACACCCAAATAGGAAAAACACAACAACGCACAAACATAACCTTATATAGGTGGTATATAGCACAGCACAAACAGCACAGCGCAGATGTATGTACTGTAATCTGGGTAATTGGGTATATAGCACATTCTCATTGTGCGATAGAGAATGTAGAGATGTGTTGCGGTTTCAATTTGTGTTACTTTGACGTTGTTTCACAGTTGTCACTGGATCTGACTTCGTCGCGACAAAAGAACAGGTGACTTTTAGGAGAGTTTACTACAATTTGAATTTACTCTGTTGATTATTCCTCTTTGATGTTTATAAATCGAATAACGTCCACATTTCTCATTGTTATATTTGTTAATAAATTCACTAAATTTCTGTCTTGATCTGTATGTTCGTTCTTTGTTTTTTTTTACTATTGGTAAATTATTATGTTCTTTAAGAGCTCACAAACTTTTATCCAAAACAATGCCAAGTTCTAATTCTGGAGGTTCAATTTTTAGTGTATATATTTATAATAGTAACGTAAAGTCTCAAAAGATCCTTAGTTAGATGGTGTTATCGAAAATATGCATGTTGATTTTGAAACAAATTTCAAAACTCAAATCAGCTGGTTCTAAAGCTTGGACTTTTTTAAAATGATACGGGTTAAAGTTTTGTCGGTTGCTCCTCACCTGAATTTAAAACAGCTTCTATGTATAACATGCATCAAGTCACTTTGCGATGCCGCGCCGCGCGTGCACCCACATACGTATAGAGTGGAAGGATATAGAAAGGGAAATTAAAACAGCAAATTTTAAAATAGTGACATGTGACTCAATCTAGGGACTGGAAGTCGTCCTACTTAGTTATCTCTACGGACGGAGCGCCTGATATAATTACGATCGAACTTCACAGGTAAGTTCGTTTGATCGTACAATTATTTAATACAGTTACATTTTTCCAGTGCAAGTTTCACTTTTTATAATTCTTAAATGACAATATTTTAGAATTCGAGTCCGAGTACAGTACAGTCGGCTCTAGCGTTACATGGACTCGAACCAATTGGACAGACCTGATCACTCTAATCAATTACATAGTCCACACCATAAATACGTGTTCTTTCTATCGGATCAGTTCCAGCAGGGAGACTAGGGAGTGTAGTCTCCATGAGTTCAAGTTTCGGATACCCATCTCTAACACAGATATGAACAAAATGACGTCGATATTAGCAAAGCGATATTGAGGTTAAACGACCAATACAAGGGTTTTATATTTATATTTCAAAGAAAACTGTTCAAATGACTGGTGTTCATGAAACTTGGTGTAGGTTTTGCCTTAAAACTGTAATCGTTAAGAGTTTTGCTTTAACAGACAACGTTATCAATGATATTTTAGATGTTCTGCTGAAATCGGTAAGTCGGTGAAAATATTAGATCTCAATTCGTACACTTCTCGATAGTTTCAACACGTATTTTCTGCAACTGTTATTTTCTTTTGTTTGGTTAAATTTGAAAATATTTCAGAAATTCGATTGTGAGAGCAACGATGTTATATGTAATGCTTGCAGAAGAAAATTATATGCAGCATTTGAATTCAAGTCAACGTGTTTGAATACTGATAGCACAATTGTTCCATACGTGGATTGCGAAAAAATGTTACAGCTCGACATAAGAGAAATTTATTTGAAGGAAAGAAGTGAAGATATTTCAGACAGTCAAATAATATGTCGGTTGTGTATGCACCCAGTAAAAGGTGAGTTTAGTTGCATACGTGAAGAGGAACTTGAAGCTATTGAGAAATTGGCCCCTGAAATGGTATGAACGATATTAAATACTTGCATTTATCGCAATTTAAAAAAAAATGTTTTGTAGAATATAAATGTCATCAAAGATCCAGTTGTATGTAAGCCATGCTACGATTCTCTGTGTACTCACAACAGTTTCCTAAAAAATTGCTTAGAAGTAGAGAACAAAATTAGAGGTATATATGACGGTTCGGTTACAGAAAGTCAGACAGATACTTCACCATCTGATTTATTTGTTAAGACTGAGAACACGGACAAAGAATTCGATATTAACAACGTGGAAATGTCGATCAAAACTGAAAGTATTGACATAAAATCGGAAGATGAGGAATCCAGGTACGAGAACTATTTTAACATTAAATATGAAAATTTCAAGGAAAAAGTTGCACTAAAATGTGAACCTTACAATTTTAAAAGTCATCTTGGACTAACTAAGGAAGATATTTGGGTATACAGTGTGTTGTTTACACAGTTCCAGTTTAAATTGGGAACTGTGGTATGCATTGTTGTCAAATATCATCATTTAAAGGAAAGCTTATTATAAAGCAAATTTTATTAAAATGCATAGTTTTCCAAACTGCTCACTGTGAAGTATTACTCCTCGTTGGTGCTTTACTTTTATTGAATCGGTGTTTGCAATACATTATCTTGCCACCCATATTGTAATGGCGGTGGGTAGTCGCACAGTTTAAGGCGTCAGTACTTAAATCGATGTGTGCTAATTCTGCCTGGGTTCGATTCCCGCGGCCGGTAGATCGTAGATTAGCTATGCTTGTACAGAGGATTGGCATCCTTTGGGCAGGTATGGTAGGGTGGAAGAATGTTGGCTTGGGTCAATGTCAAAGATTGACACCGGTTGGCATTTGACCACCCCCCCTAATTAATAAGGTTTTGCAGGTTTCCCTCATTCCTGCACTGAATGGTGGTTAGGGCCTACCAACATAAGACGTTCCTGGGAGCAAATGCAACCTGCTTAATAATAATTTGCCGCCTCCTCTCCCGCACAAGTCTCCGATTTCTGGGCTAATTCTCATGGTTAGAATGAGTAGAGATATTATTATTATTATTACTTTTATTATATTACAATACTTAACAAAGTGCTAGTAGTACCTGATTTTGTAGATTGACTGTAATTTCAGTTTGATCTTTAAGTCATTGTACCTGCCAATTCTTAATGTGTGTTTATTACGGTAAGATATACCACACGTTACTTCATTTTTCAATATGGATACACACATACGACGGATTAAGAGTTATTTACAACGTGCCTAATTTTATTGAAATAATTCGTAAAAACAATCAAATACGATAAAAATGCTGGAGATAAAAGTAACAAAGTTGAGGTTATTAAATTTAGTACAACTTATTATAAAAACTGTTCAAAATGACCACCGTTGTTTCTACAACAGAGGTCAATTCGGTGAAGAAAGTTAAAGGACACCCTTTGCAGTTCTTAAGGGCTATTTTTAAAACATTTAAGGCATTTTGGATATGTCTCCACAACTCTTGTTCAGTGTTAGATGTGGAAGCATGCACTGTTGTTTTCAGAGTGCCCCAAAAATAATAGTCGTAAGGTGTTAAGTCTGGTGAATGTACAGGTCAGTTAACAGGAACATTATCCCCTCTACCCATCCATCCACGAGGAAATCTTCGGTTCAGATACTGCGGGACATTTACAGTGAAATGTGGTGGAGCGCCATCATGCATAAATCACGATAGCTTCGAGTAATAACGGCACATATTCCAGTAACTCGGGTTTTGCAAAAATTTTAAATAAAATTTCCCATTTAGTCTATTGGGTAGAATAGCAGGACCAATAATAATGCTATCCATGATCCCAAACCAAACATTTATGCGAAATTCATGCTGATAATAATGTTTCACTTTGACAGCGTGTGGATTTTCTTGAGCATACACACGTTCATTGTGAATATTTTTTATTCTGCTTCTAGTAAAACAGAATTGGCAGGTACAGTGATTTTAAGATCAAACTGAAATTACAGTCGACCTGCAAAATCGTAGCCTACTAGCACTTTGTTAAGTATTGTAATGTGGGTGGCAAGATAATGTATACATTTAAAAAATATTTTTTAGTACCCAAATCGCTCATTTAATCAAAATTCTACAAGAGGCCCAAAAACCTTCAAATGATATCACCTACCAAATAAAAAATAATTGTGATTATTGCCCGAAAGAGGAAAAAGAAAAAGGGATATCACCATATATCAATTTTGTAGGAGTTGTAAGTTTTAAAAAACACTCTATAACACCAAAATGTGTAGATCGAAAAACTCCACATCCCAAAAATAATCAAAATTGAATAATACGTATCCGAATTATTTACAAAATTAAAAAAATTTTCACGAACTTTGAGTCCATCTAGCGGCCACACAAAGCGATTTTGGATATAGGTGAATTAACATAAATCTGCCTATTTTGACTCCACAAATCTGTGGTCTTCCGTTCTACACGTTATTCTGGGACACCCTGTATATTTGCAGGTGAAATTTTTTCTATATTGTATTTTCTTGTATTTCTAAGAGTTTTCTCATAATTAATTATTTTTATTAAATTTTATCAACATATTTTCTATACACACCTGACTTAATTGTCATCATAAGCTTGATTTATATGATAATGAAATTAAAATAATGCCTTGTGGAGTTCAGAAACATATAACTGCATTTGGCATCACCTACAATCTATTAGAATTAAAATTTTGCCTTGGAAAATACCCTGTATATGCAATTTTTTCAGTGACACGCTACTGCAGGATTCCGATAGTGGATTATTCAAGAAGAAGGACTGTAAAGATGTAGAACATGATGGATGTAAGCCTGAAAATAAATCAGAGAACAAATGTAATACGAATTCCAAGCAGGAGCACAAAGTTTCGTACAAATGTATTAACGAAACTGGAAGCAAGAGTTGTTTTACAGCACACCGTGCGAGACACAAAAATGATTCGGAAGTGTATAAATGTGAATCGTGTAAGTATGGAACTAAAAATAAGGAATTACTTCAGAAGCACCTGTTGAGGCATAAAAACCCTTCGGAAATACTTACGCATCTGTGTGAATCATGTAATTACAAGACAAAGTATAGAAGTGTCCTTGCTAAGCATCAGGCTAAACACAAAAGTGCATCTGGGGCACGATGGTACCAGTGCAACCTTTGTGATTTCAAAACAAAGCAGAGGTCCAACTTCAATAGTCATTATATAAAACACAAAAACTCAAACAAACGTGACGAGTTTGATCATAAAACTAAATGCGACACATTGCCACATAAGGAAGCTTCTTTACAACTACCAGTTTATAAATGTGCTAGTTGCAACTACGAATCGAAGAATAGGAAACTTTTCATTAGACATGGTTTGGTACATAAGGATCCCTCACAGGTCAAAATGTACAGGTGTGACGACTGCAATTACGAAACTAAATACAGCAGTGTTATTACACAGTACCAGTTGACACATAAAGATCCCTCGCAGGTCAAAATGTACAATTGTAATGAGTGTAATTTCGAAACTAGATACAAGAATCGTGTCAAACGGCATGAACTACGACATAAAAATGCTTCACAGACTCAAATGTACAGGTGTAACGACTGCAATTACGAAACTGAATTAAAGGGTAATATCAAAAAGCACGAACTAAAACATAAAGATCCCTCACAGGTGAAAATGTACAAGTGTGACGACTGTAATTACGAAACTAAATACAAGGACACTCTCAAACAACATGAACTGAAACATAAAGATCCTTCAGAGGTTCAAATGTACAAGTGTAATGAGTGCAATTTCGAAACTAGATACAAGAATCGTGTCAAACGGCATCAACTACGACATAAAAATGCTTCACAAATTCAAATGTACAGGTGTAACTACTGCAATTACGAAACTAAATACAAGGATACTATCAAACAACATGAACTGAAACATAAAGATCCTTCAGAGGTTCAAATGTATAGGTGTTACAACTGCGATTATGAGACTAAATATAGGGGCAATTTCAGAAAGCACCAACTTATACATAAAGATCCTTCGCATGTTCAAATGTACACGTGTAGCAACTGCGATTATGAAACTAAATACAAGAGTTGTATCAAACGGCATCAACTGAAGCAGGAAAATCCTTCACAAGTTCAGATGTACAGATGTAATGACTGCGATTACAAAGCTAAATACAGGAGTAATATCAAACGGCATCAACAGAAGCATGAGAATCCTTCGCAAGTTCAAATGTACAGGTGTAATGACTGCGGTTACGAAGATAAATACAGGAGTAATATGAAACGGCATCAACTGAAGCATGAAAATCCTTCGCATGTACAAATGTACAGGTGTAGCGACTGCGATTATGAAACTAAATACAGGAGTAATATCAACCGGCATCAACTGAAGCATGAAAAGCCTTCGCAAGTTCACAGATGATTACGAAACTAAATACAAGAACAATATCAGATGTCAAGAGTTGGTTTTCTTAAATGCAAATGTACCTGCGTGATTTACTAACAACAAAATGTCTTTGAGGAGACCTTAATTGATGAACAAAAAAATTTGCAGTTGTGAATTATCACCCATTGAAGTGCAAAATGTATTTAAAAATGGAAGCAGTTGAGAGTGATCAGTGTGAATATGATGGTCTATAAAAAGGTGTATATGAAGTAACAGGTAAACGTTTGTAAACTCGTGCGCCGTTAGTGGCAGAGATAGTGATACAAAATCAAAATAAGTATATCTCACTTCAAGTTTGATAGTCATTATTTGTGTATCACAACATGTCACGTCTTTACATGTAAATCAGTGAAGAGTTGAGGTGAGTTTCCAACTGTTAATTTCCTAATTATTTGATTTGTACTTAATAATAATAATAGTTTATTTTCCTTTAGACATCATACATATTGTATAGGAATAGTCCAAAACAAATAAAGTAAAATATACAATATACAATGATTAAATAAATAATAAATACGAAACGCTACAAAACATCAGATAAAAATTCACGAATAGAGTAATAACACTTACTAAAAATTGTTTCAATTTACTTTTAAATAGATGTTCATGCACTGACAGTATTTTTAATTTCAACAGGCAAATAATTGAATATTCTAGGTCCTATGAAGTTAGGAGAAACAGATGTCAAGTTTAATCTTGCAAATGGTAAATGAAAATTACACAGCCCCACAAAAAAAAATGAAATTATTTTCTCCGATATCTGAGGAGGTGCACGTCATGTTTTTGGGGTTGCTGAATCCGAATCCGGGGTCCGTTTAACCCCATCACGTCAGAGTCAAGGGCATGTGAAGGTCAAATTGCGGAATGACTTAAAAAATCTGGAAAAATTTATATACATGTTTTTTTTGGGGGTCGCTAAATCTGAATCTGGGGTTCTCTTGACCTTGAAGTGTCAGAATCAAGGTCAAATAAAGGTCAAAACCCTAAAATTTGATGATATGATATTTTTGACCCCGGATTCCGAAAGAGCAAAAAATTTTACATCCGAATACGTATTTACCACAAACATAACAGAAATGATATGGGGTTTTTGGGTTGTCATGCTCATGTCTATGGGTTCTACTACTTGTAGCTTTATACTCTGGTGAGGCCAAGGTAGCCACCTCAACAGAGCCGCGGTCACTGGATGACGACGCCTGCGGGCCCGCTTTCCCACCCTGACCAGCCGCCGATACTGGGGTTCCATCCCCCTGCATCGTAAATTTCTCCGTTGTGTTTGCCATGACGGCATACGCGTCCTGTTCCAGGGACTTTGCCGGATAGCGGGACAACTCCGTTGCCNTTTATTTTCCTTTAGACATCATACATATGTATAGGAATAGTCAAAAACAAATAAAGTAAAATATACAATATACAATGATTAAATAAATAATAAATACGAAACACTACGAAACATCAGATAAAAATTCACGAATAGAGTAATAACACTTACCAAAAATTGTTTTCAATTTACTTTTAAATAGATGTTCATGCACTGACAGTATTTTTAATTTCAACAGGCAAATAATTGAATATTCTAGGTCCTATGAAGTTAGGAGAAACAGATGTCAAGTTTAATCTTGCAAATGATAAATGAAAATTATCTTTGTCAGTGTGATATTTACGATTTAAAATAAATCTGTTTTTATTACTAAAAACATAGACACATATTTCAAAAATATAAATACAGGGAACAGTAAAGACCTTACATTGTTTAAATATACCTTTACACAACTGAGTACCTACTTAAAATGCCTGTGATGCATCTTAAAACTCGCTTCTGTGCAATCAAAACATTTGAGGCTGTACCCAATTACTCCAAAAACAGACACCATGCCTTAGTCGAGACTCGACCTGGACGTAATACAGACAAAGAAGGTGTTCTATATGAAGAGCTGTTCTGATAGTTCGAAACAAATAGGTAACAGATGACAATTTAGATATTAGACTTTGACAGCGATATTTCCAATTGAGGTTTGAAGAAAAGCGCTAATACCATTGTGTTACTATTGTATTTTGTTAGTGTTATTTTAAAATCTAGTAATAAGTTTTAAAGTTTGAAATCCAATTTTAGTATTTGTATGCAACGTTGTATTATTATTTGTTGGGTTAAATAAATTAAATAAAATGTAACTATAGGTACCTACCGACTTTGTATTTATTTTTATTTTTGAAAGAAGCAAGTGAGGGATACGGATGACTATGGGAGATCCCTCATGTCCAAACAATATTTTTGCCATATTCGGATTCAGCGAATTTTACTAAAGATAGGTAGGTTGGATGGCCAGTTCGGGTTCTTTTAATTTTTGGAGTGAATTTAGGGTGTGTGGGGGAGAATCCATACGTCAGAATATTTTTTTTATCATTTTCGGATTTAGCGGAAAATTTTACTAAAGGTAGGTAGGTTGAATGACCAGTTTGGATTTTTTTAAATTTTTGATAGGAACTGGGGGTGTGTGGGGAGTCCACATGTCAGAATTTTTTTTTATCTTTGAATTCAGGGGATTTTACTAAAGATAGATAGGGTCACATATCTAATACAAATTTTTTTTTGTTGGGCTGTGTTATTCCAACCATTTCAGGACCTGTAAATATTAAATTCATTTAAAGAGACAATAAAGATTAAAAAATAAATCCTTACCTTATTGCACAAAAAATAATTCCAAATTATCTTGACTGCACTTGTAAGAATATTTGATTTATATTTTTTAACAAATTCTCGGTATATGTCCATACAGACGAGCCGGCGAAGCAAGAAGAGCGCCAGAAGAAAGGGCCCTAGCCGGCGGGGCCCAGCCAGGACAAAAGGAGGTCCCACAAAGCGCCTACACCGGCCGCATTTGCGGTCGGGGTAGACGACGGATGGGGCCCACCTACGAAGGCTGTCCGGGCCTACACGAGATGAGGCAGGATAAAGAGGGATAATCCCCTCAATCCCAAATCATTGAGGACAATTTCTAGTGGAGTTTGGAGTGTTACTAGATATTCTAAAAAAGGAGTTTTTCTTCGTATTACTCACAGAAACTGACCCGTGATATTTTTCATTTTATTTGACTAAATTATGCTTTCATTGACAGACAGTTTTTATTTCTACCCCTTTTTATTGCATGCTTCGTGTAGACGCGTAGCCATAGAAAAGCAGTCAGAATGGCTTATCTGAGGAATTTTATGGATCGGTTGCAATTAGTCCAGTTCCAAAAGAATACCTATTCCAAAGATCACTCGTTGCAGCAGTCTTGACTCGTGTATTTTATTTGATCCTTATTGTAATTAGAAAGAATCACATTTTATTTTTGTAATTACCACTACATTCTCTTTTTATGATTATCGTTGAACTAATTAAACAAATCAATAAAATCAATAAAACTATTTCAATGTAGAAAATGTTTTATTATATCTTTTAATATATTTTTTAATATTTCACATACTTTCCCAACAGATCGATCCTCCTTGTATGGGCATCTTAAAATTAAATAATTCGCTACTCTTATTTCCAACCTCAAGTAGCCCAAGGAAATAATAATATTAATCTGTAATTGTTTTATAATTTTTATTAGACACTAGAAATTAACAGTTTTTCATATTTTCAAACTTTTTGTTTAATGTTATAATTTCATGCCTTTTTAAAACAATTATATAAATTCTTTAAAAATTACATCGCTTTAGCAACTTTATAAGTATTTATTATTAAATATATGGTCTATACACATTTCATCAAAATAATTTTATAAAACCTTTTCAGTAGATAAACAGGGCGAGTCATTTTAATTTCTCCAGTCGATTATTTAGGGGAGGGTCATTTCGTGAAAATTAACTTCAGCAAAAGTTTGTTGGGGGGTCACCTTGTCATGACCTTGACCCATATTTTCAAGGTCATTGTTATTACAGCAAGGGCAACTTATTATTTTTGTAGAAGAAACGTCTATTTTTCACTTCAGAATCATTAGCTTCAGAGGTTGTGAATTGACTTTCTATTTGACCTTGCCTCTTTTCAAGGTCATTTTGAATGTCAAATAATTTCTTGTTTTTACTTCAGAAATGAAAATAAAGGAAAATTTTGTCAGAATACATAGTTTGGTTCGTGGTGAAAATGACCTTTGAAGATCATGCCAAAGTCAATTCTGCATCTCGAAATAGTAAAGAATAATAAAGAAACTTCAAGATCTGTTTAGGGTCAACTATATTTTTTAAATCCTACTTTTCGCATTACCGAGGAATAATGATGAGGAGATAGTAGACTCTATTCTCTTTGGGGTGCTTTATTAACGTGAGTCCCCTTGCCTCTGACGATTAATCTTCAAATGATCTTGAAAATATTGGTCAAGGTCAAGGCGACTGCCTCACAACAAACCCAACAACTTTTGGTAAGGTTTATTTCCACGAAATGGGGTAAAATGTAAAATGGAAGACCTAATTGGAAACTAGGCAATTATTTCTTATGACGACGGTGGTAACGCTTTAAGTGGCTTCGTAGGCACTCCTTATACTTGCTTCTGAAACGACACGAATTACAACCGTACATTTGCACCTCGGAAACGTCTTTGTGCTTAAGCTCGTGTTTTTTAAGAGTGCCCTTCGTCTTCGTTTCGAAACCGCACGTGTCACACGTGAACGTGCACACAGAGGAAATATCTTTATGTGTCAACTGATGGGCCCTAAGGCTTCTCACGTACTTAGTTTTGAAGTCGCACGTAGGGCACTCGTGTACCTCCACTTCGGAAAGACTTTTGTGCTTCAAGTGATGCGTCATAAGGCTAGACTTGTGCTTCGTTCTGAAGCCGCACGTGGCGCAGTCGTAAGTGGGGACCTCTGAGAAGTCTCTGTGTTTGTAAAACTGATGGTTGACGAGGATGCCTTTCATCTTGGTTCGAAAATCACACTCGTCACATTTGTACCTCAGAGCCTTGGACTTTTGCGCTTCCAAGGGACTTCTGTGAATCGACTGGTGGGTTTTGAGACTGCCTTTGTGCCTGGTCCTGAAGTCGCAGGCGTCACACTGGTATATCTGTGCTTCGGAAATGTCTTTGTGCAGCAACCGGTGTTTCGAGAGGTACCTCTTGTGCCTGGTTTTGTAAACGCAAATGTCGCACTCGTACATCTGCACCGTTGATGCGTCTCTGTGCCCCAACATATGTCTGGTAAGGGAGGTCTTATGCTTGCTTTGGAAGTCGCATACGTCGCAGTTGTACATTTGTACTTTAGAGATGTCTTTGTGTATCAGTTGGTGGCTCGTGAGGTTGGTCTTTAGCTTAGTTTCGTAGTCGCACGAGTTGCATTTGTACATTTCGGTTTCGTACCGTTTTTTGTGCCTCAACTCATGAGATTTTAAGTTACCCTTGAGTTTGGATTTGTAATCGCATAAGTCGCAGGTGTACATTTGAGTTTCTGAAACGTCTTTGTGCACTAGCTGGTGGGTCTTGACGGAAGCCTTAAACTTACTTTTGAAGTCACATGCGTTACATTCGAACATTCGTATCTTCGAAGGATCTTTGTGTTTTGGCTGTCGACGTTTTAATTTGCCCTTTTGCTCAGTTTGGTGTTTGCTCGAATCACTGAAAAAATTTTAAATCCTGATTAATTAAACGAAACAAATTCAATTCATAATACATTAAAATTTCCTCTCGTGAAGGACAATTTTTCTGGTTTATCCTTTAATTTTTTTGTCTTTTAAGTTAGATCCCAATAAAATGTATATGTACTTTATGTTTGAAAGTTCACACATTTAAGAAATAGTTTTTTCGAAATTTGAAACCTCACTTTCAAGGACTACAACTTCCCAGCTTAGTATAAAGGTAAGTTGCGTTATATTACCATATTTTGGTTTTCCCTACATGCTCCTGCTCTATGTTGGTTCTTATGCGGAACACCCTGTATATTTAGCAATTAAAAAAATAATTTGCAATAATTTTTATTTACGTACATTTTGAATTAAATGCCATTTCTCATTTAAGCTCCTCATTTTCAAGATACAGGATGTCAAAGTGATGATTTAAAACAGGCCTTTAATAAGCAACTCTCCATTATTTTTTAAGATATCCTGTAAAATTTGACATGGGGTTTTATCCTATCCTGCCATATTTTTTTGTAATAAAGTCGAAATGTAAGGGTGAAGTAGCAAAAATGGTACCAGTGAATGTAGAGCCAAAAATAAGAGGATTGAAGTAAAAATACCCTATATGAAAGTTGCACCTCTGAGGCGATATACCCTCTTAAAGGAGGGGATTGAAATTCACATTTTAATTTTTTTTTTTTAACATGAGGAATGCTAGAGACACGAAAGTTGGTATGAGCATCCTACTAAAGAGACAACTTTTCAATACTTCTTCGATCATTGGCATATTTTATAAAGGAGTGAAACAGTCAACCCCATTGCAATATTTTATTAGTAATTTTTTATATGAAGCAAATTATTTATTTAAAAATATTTATTGGGAAGACTGATTTATTGCGCAACTTTTTTACCTCTTGTAATTTTTCGGTAAAACTGATAGTTTTCTAGTAAAAAAATTAGATGCGTCGTCGTTCACTAAAGGGGTAGTCGCGAAAATTTGTAAAAATAAAGTAGGCGGATGTCATAACAAATAAATTGTTATTTATCATATTAATAAATTGACACTTTCTGTTAATAAGCTGGTAATTTAATAATAACGTTAAGAATAATTTGCTATTAGTTAATGAAAAATGTTTGATAACTTATAACTATGGGACATGTATTAGGTGAAGTTATTTACCTGAAATAAAATTTAATACAAACAAAAAACAAGAAATGCAAAATTAAATTTAAATATTCTCGAAATAATTTCCATTTTGCTGCAAGCATAACCTAATACATCTGTTGAGGTTACAACGCACTCGCACAAACAGTTCTTGGTTAATGCGAAGGTCATGCTGCCTGAAATATTCTTAAGGGTAGTTCTTGTAAGGAAGCAACAGGAGTGGCATAAACAATATCCATACGTAAACGTGTAGGCCAACAAATAGGGGCATCACGACCACGACCAATCCAGTAATTCGGGTAATTTAAATTTAACTATTCTCTAACGGCAAGTGTACTATGCAGGCGCCCCATCATGCATATACCGCATCACCTGACATGTAGCGAGGGGTACATCCTCAAGTAATGTTGGAAGATTTTCATTAAAAAATCTAAGATACTCGGCCGCTCCAAGCCTGTGTGGAAGAATAAAAGGACCTACTAGAGTATTTCCTACAATTCCCATCCAATCGTTTAAACAAATATTTCATGAGTATTTTCTTCCGACCATGAATGAACATTATGTAGGTTTACTGCACCTACTCTAGGAAAATTTGCTTCATTGATGAAAAGTATATTCATTAGGAAATTTAAGTCATGCCTGGAAATATTAATGTACCATTGACAAAAATCCACACGATTAGGTAAATCAGGGTCATTCAATTCTTGCACTGGTTGATGGTGAAAAGGGTATAAAAGATTTTTATGAGCTACATTCCACACAAGACTGAGAAACTTGCAGTTGCCTGGACACCTGTCTTGTGCTTGCACCACAGTCTTGTTCTAGATGTTACAGTATAGCTTCCTCAGTTCCAACAGTTCGGACATTACGCCTTCTTCCGGCACCCTCACGATTGGGATGAATTTTACCAGTTTCACGAAGCCTTCTTTCCACCGAGGCCAATGTTTATCTATGAGGAATCGGTCGGTTTGTATATCTTTGGTGGTATAATCTTACTGCAGCATTACTATTTTTTCTGTATTCGAAAAACACTTGCAGCATGTCAACATATTTGTCATTGGTATAAATATTATTTTTCATAATTATTTTGATAATAAATTAATCTATTGGTACTAATTATTGGTTGACAGAAAGTGTCAACTTATTAATATGACAAATAACAATTTATTTGTTATGACATCCACTTACTTTATTTTTACAAATTTTCACAATTACTCCTTTAGTGACAGATGACGCATCTAATTTTTTTACTAGATAACTATCGGTTCAACCAAAAAATTACAAGAGGTAAAAAAGTTGCGCAATAAATCTGTCTTCCCAATAAATATTTTTAAATAAATAATTTGCTTCACATAAAAAATTTCTAATAAAATATTGCAATGGGGCTGACTGTTGCACTCCTTTATAAAATACGCCAATGATCGAACAAATATTGAAACGTCTCTTTATTAGTAGGATGCTCATACCAAGTTTCCTGTCTCTAGCATTCCTCATGTTAAAGAAAAAAATTAAAATGTGGATTTCAATCCCCTACTTTTAAGAGGTCATATAAGGTATTTTTACTTCAATCATTTTATTTTTGGTTCTACATTCACTGGTACCATTTTTGCTACTTCATTTAAAAACACCCTGTATATAATTGACAAAAAAAAATTAACTTACCAATCATTGTTTTCTTCGGATTTTATTTCAGTCTCTTCAGTTTTAATACAGACAGCACTGTTTGTAGCGTCGTCGACATGATTATTTTTAATTAAACAGTCCTTTAAAAATTTGCTGTGAGTGGTCAGCAAATCAAGACAGACTGAACAAATTACCGGTTCTTTGATGGTACTAAACCTCTATAAAAGACAAACACTATTATTATCATTACTGAAATATCATTAATGAAATAATGATAAAATTTTGAGGCAGACCAGTAATAGCTTACGTTTCTGCTACTAGAGAAACCATAAAATTTTCAAATTACGTACCACTTCTGGTATATATTTACGAATTAAGTCATATTTCACATTTTCTACTGATATAAATCCACAGGTAATTATCTGCATACACAGTCGGCAAATTTTCTCATCTTCCAGGAGGGATCTCAAATGTTCTTTATCTCTTTCCTTCAGATAAATTTCCCTTAAGTCAACTGGTTCCACAATATTATAATTAACATATGGAAAAATACAGTCCTCGGTGTCCATACAGGTTACCTTGAAATCAAAAGCCGCAAATAATTTCATGGAGCAAGTGTTGCACATCACAGGCTTGTTTGTTTCCTCCAGATTCTGAAATATATATGTATATTACTACGAATGTAAACATTTCATGACGATGCACTTAAAAGTACTTTTATATCAAGGTTTTTCTTACCAATTTCAACAGAAGAACATCTAGAACTTCCCTAACAGTTTCTTCTATTACTTTAAAATCCCCATCGCTTATGGCGTTGAGGCAAAGCTTGCAGAATATTATCTCAAAGTTTGCCATTGTTTTGTTTTATATTATAATGTGTATAAATTACACCAGCTAGAGAATTTAACTAATACTTGTAAAAATATAAAACACAAACATAACCTTACATTTCAATTGTCAATTGGAATTAGAGATGTGTGCTGTGTCGTTCCTGAACGAGTTGTTCCAAAAGAACGACACCGGGGTTAGATTCAATTCCTACTACAGCCTCTGGAAAACGCAGACGGAACTGCGACAGACCGCTCGCCGTAAAATTCCTCTAATCCACCGTAGTGTGGGGGTGGTTTACACGAACCAGGAAAAGGCCGAGGCTTTCGCCGATAGCCTGGAACTGCAGTGTAGATTGCCTCAGCTGCCCGACGAAGACGAGGAATTCGAGATAGTGGCTGAGCGCGCAGCCCGACGCGTCGACAGAGAGCCAGACAATGACATAATCCCCCCCGCAACTCCTGACGAACTAAGACTGACAATACGCAGACTTAAAAACAGAAAAGCCCCCGGACCCGACAATATACATAACACGACACTTAAACGACTACCACACAAGGGCCTCATGGCCCTACTAAACATAACAAACGCGACACTCAGACTAAGACACTTCCCTACCCGCTGGAAAACAGCAAACATAATCCTTATCCCAAAACCCAACAAAGATCACACCATCCCATCCAACTACCGGCCCATTNATTCTTTTCTGTTAGAGTTAGTCTGTGATATGGGTACATTAGATTTAAATTTCTTGTATTATACTGAGATGATGAGTCTGTCATAAAATTATTCCAGTTTTTCCTTACATACATTAAGCACTCAAAAATATACAGAGCCGATATAGTCATTATTTTGCTATTCCTAAATACCGATCTACAAGATTGGATGTAAGACATATTATTAATAATTCTTATAATTCTTTTTTGAATGACAAAAATTTTCTGTATGTCAGTGCTATTACCCCAAAACATAATTCCATATTTACAAATAGATTCGAAACTACCAAAGTAAATGATTTTTGTAGATGTACTATTTACATATTTACTAATTACCCTGATTCCATATATTACTTTACTTAATTTAGCAGCAAGTTCATCTATATGTTTTTTCCAATTTAAGTGTTCATCTAGATGCAGTCCTAGAAATTTTGTACTACTTGCTAATTCTGCTATCTGATTGTCCAGTATGATATTGTTAGGTCTGTTTATTTGCCAGTAACTTGATGAAAAAAGTACTAGTTGAGTTTTATCATTATTCATGATGAGACCATTCTTTGAAAGCCAGTCCTTTGTTAATTGTAAAAGTACCTCACTTTGTGTTATGATTTCTGGCATGGTGTCTGCCCCTACCAGTAAATTTGTGTCGTCCACATAATTAATAATTTTCTGATTTGAATTTGTGGGTACTTTTGCTATATCATTTAAATATATAATAAACAATAGTGGACCTATGATACTCCCCTGCGGGATTCCTATATTGATCTTCAACTTTTCGGAGCTAAACACACCGCCGTTATGATTTATGCATACTTTTTGCTCTCGGTTTGATAAATAGGAGACAATCCATTTCAGAGCCGGACCTCTAATGCCGTATCTTTCTAATTTTACTATGAGAAGGTCATGATTTAAACAATCATAGGCTTTAGCTAAGTCTAAAAACACACCCAAAGCTAGACATTTACTCTCGAAAAAATTAATGATGTCATTTGTAAAATTATAGATAGCTGTATTTATAGATTTACCCTGTCTATAGCCATGCTGACTATGACTGAATAAATTGCAATTATTCATAAAACTTGTAGGCCTACGAACCATTGCTAGTTCAAAAACTTTTGAAAATGCAGGAAGCAAACTGATGGGTCTATAATTCTCCATTAATTCCGGATCACCTTTATTTTTAAAAATTGGTTTAATGATCGACAACTTTAATTGATGAGGCACTATCCCAAATTTGAATGTGTTATTTATTATGTAATACAGGTTCATGTTGTACTTACCCCTTTCATTCTTATATATTTTTTAAATAAACTTTTTAAATTGGGTGTATTAAAAGTATTTATTTTGTCACTTTTTAACAAAAACTTATTTTTTTAATGTTTCACTAAAACTAAAACCTATCATTAATTTATTTTCTAAAGGCTCAGATTCATAGCCATCTATCAAGACTCTTGTTTTATAGGTGACAAAGCAACACTTTTTCCGACACTAATGCGACACTGAATGCTTTTACTCCTTACGGACGGCTTAGCCATTACGCCAAAATTATGTTTAACAGGTACCTCTTGCTTCCTCCGAGGAATATCTTCAGCAATTACCAGTACCCTTGATGTTGACGGAACGTCTTGAAAAGACGATTCATTGTCATCCTCTACGATTTTACGTTTGACCCTTTTAACTGCTGCTGGATCGTCTAAATGCGTCAACCCCCTTTCTCTATCCTTTTGACAGTCAAAGATGTGTGGAACAACATTACGTTTCATCTTGATATTGCCCCCTACCATTTTAAATTTCATAAAATTTTCCATATCTTCCTCCAACTACAAAAAAATAATGATATAGGTATAAAAGAAGTATCGTTCACATTCTTTGTAAACAAAAATACTTACACTAAAGTGATCCTCACATATATACACTCTGCTAGACGAAGAAACACTAGTTGGATCTCTTTTACAGGCTTTCAACCACGTTTCTCGTTTCTTTTTGTCAGGGGGTAACCTAATGAACAATTTACTAGGCGTAGTTACCGTTGTATTGTTGCACTGTGGGGTTAGGCAATATTTATAATACGATGGTTCTTCCATTTTTAAATCATAGGAACTTACACGTTTGTTTTATGGCTAAAATAAACTTGTACTGCATTTGGATATAGAAAAATGTCTAAATACTTACCTTTATTTCGGTTTGCTCCAATTTCCTAATAATACGCCCTTCAGAATATAAAACACTGTAAATATAAAATCAAATTTCGTTACAACTGTATTTTTATGGCAATCTGTTGTTGTACTAGTAAGTAGCACTCAAATATATAGTGTACTTATTACTAACCTTGTTTTGTTTATATAACTTTATTAAGGTAAGGTTACTATGCTTATGCTCATGCCGTTCTGTCCCTGTTATTCTTCTTCTCTGTTTGCAATCATCATCATCAACTATAAAGATCTATGGCCAGGGAGCAAGGATTTTATACAAGAAATCCTTGGCCAGGGAGACTAGGCAGGCAATCATACTCACTTTCTGTATTAATCTATGATACTCACTAAATGACATCACGAATTAGCTTTCCACTAGAGATGTGTTGTGATTTCACTGTGTTACTTTAGCGCTGTTCCGCAGTAGTCACTCGCCATTATTCCATGGCTAGAAATTGGCCTCAATGATTTGGGATCGAGGGGGATTATCCCTCTTTATCCTGTTTTTTCGTGTGGTTGACTTTTGCGGGAAGTCGGTGTAGAAAAAAAGCCGCATATCGTGTCGGCCGGACACGGATTTCTTAGTTTAATTTAAGAAATCCGTGCGGCCGGACTATACATGTAACTGTACTCAGTAACGATTACAAAGTAACGAGTACTCAAGATAAAAGTAACGAATACTCTTGAGTACTAGAAAGTAACTGTATTTGACATCACTACACAGCACATACTCTGTGACTACAGTGCGCCGCGCCATTATTCTATGGCTAGAAATTGGCCTCAATGATTTGGGATCGAGGGGGATTATCCCTCTTTATCCTGCCTCATCTCGTGTAGGCCTGGACAGCCTTCGTAGGTGGGCCCCATCCGTCGTCTACCCCGACCGCAAATGCGGCCGGTGTAGGCGCTTTGTGGGACCTCCTTTTGTCCTGGCTGGGCCCCGCCGGCTAGGGCCCTTTCTTCTGGCGCTCTTCTTGCTTCGCCGGCTCGTCTGTGTAAACCCCGGGGGTAGTGTCATGTTTATG